CTTTTGACAACACAACGCCACTGAGGGAAAACTGCAAATGCAAGCATTCTGTGTGGGAACGGATTCACAAGCTCGGACAAGCCGAGCCTGCGATGCTCGTTCATCCTTTGACTCGTGCCAAATTTACCGACAACCGACGGGAACGCCAAGCCGCTTGGCGAACGGGCGAGCCTTCGCATTTCCACGGCGCGTGACTCGCCAATTCGCGAGCCAGACTCGCCAAGTCCCGCGCCGTTGGAAGCCGGCTTAAGACGGTCCACAAGACTAATAAACAAGTACAAACTGGTTGGTGGATTAGGTGGATCAATTCAAATTATTCAACAATACAAAATGAATGACCAGATGTTCATACGGACATCTGAAAAAACCTAAACATTCCTAAATTAAAAAGTCACATTCAATATACTACATAATACAATACAAATTCCTTGAAACAATGAAACTAGAGAAACTCCAACACAAAGGATATTACCTGATATAACCGAAATACAGGCAAATTTAAAGAGACATCCGGAAGATAGGACAGAACAAATAGCTGCACTGAGGCGTTCTAACCGTATAAAAGAACAAACAAGAAGATGAAACGGTCGCATATAATAAGTGAAAGTTATTAATGCTTCAAATCCTTTTCGTTAAGAAATGGTAATATTAAAATACTGAAAATGAAGGAAAATTAGTTGCATTCGGGGGAGGTGCATTACGACATGCTCAAGGTTGCCCCTTTCCTCTCATGCAGACCTACGACTTTGTAGGTACATGTGGCAGCTACCTAAGGGAAAAAACAACAACTAACCCAGCTAATGTCGCGCAGAGAATTGAAGTGAAACCATCAGGCACCTGTGCAACATCCTTGACTTGGAAGATTCGTCGCAAGATATTTCCCACTATGTCAAATGCGCCACCTGCAGTGGACATCCCACATTGTGATTGATAAGCTTTCTCATTCGCAAGAAGAAATTGAAGAAGAGGAGATTTTCCGCATTTCTTCATTTGATAAATATCATCTCAAATCATGATGATGAGTTGAAATATAAGTAATGAGTTATACTGTATGGGTTCATAGACATTAAAAAAATATTTTTTGGTGTCAATGACGTTTTGAATATGAAAATCCATAAAGTATTTAAAAAACATTTAATTGTGAGATTTTCATTGAACAGTCTTACAAAAACGTAACACGTGTTTCGCTAAACGATAGCTTCTTCAGGCGTGTCTTCACTAACTAAAATCTACATATTCAATGCTTTATAAATGTGTTCACAATTTGAAGTATCTGAATTTTAGGTACCTGAGTTTTGCCAACCAAATAATGTTGAATATATACCTGATTTTGTGGATAACTCAATAGACATCAACATAAGGAAAGGAGGGAAAGTGTACAGGGTTATTCACTTTAAATTACCCACCCCTTATCATCGTTATTATTGCCTACAGAAAAAAAA